TATGCATTATTTATCACAGCTATAGGTAAAGTGATTCACAGTGCTGGCAAGCACAACCGTCACCCTTTTTACTTTTTCACAATAATTGAGGATGAGGATATCCAGGGGCTGTAGAGTCTTTTGTTCAACAGAATCCCGTTGGAAATATTTAAATTGGCCCCAAAATGGCTCTTCCAGATCCAGTCTTAACCTTAAATTAGACACGACTTACTAGCTTTTGAAACTGTTATTAAGGCTAATTATAGTAATATAATTAGGGTTAACGTTGACATTCGTTACATCACTTATTGATCGACCGTTTCAAAGTGGGAATGATTAATTACACTGCCTAGGATTATCATCTACTGGCAATTCGAGCAACATTCTTCAAAGCAAACCCTGACATGCACGATATTTTAAGGGTCGCTCAAGGGTTGGTTCAAATATAAAGGGCCTCCAAGAGAGACCAATCTAAAATTTCAAGATGCACTTCTTCTACAACGTTCAAATCCACTCCCACTATATTTTCACTTCAGACAACTCAAAAACCCTTAATTTTCTATTTCTGATAAAAAAATTCGACCAACGAACAAAGTTTATCGCAAATTTTTAATTTGAGTCGTTAGGGTAGAAATACAAGATGTTCAATCAAAGTGCAGTTAGTACTAGTAGTGATTCTTGAAGAAGCTGATATTTGTAAAATTCTTAGCTTATGTCCAGATTCTATAAGTGTAGCAAAGCTCAGAAAACTGTTCCAGATGAGAGGCAACGAAGTAGTGGAGAAGTTGTACAGACGTTCTGTAGAAGTAGCGGAGAAATTGTACAGACGTTCTGTAGAAGTAGCGGAGAAGTTGTACAGACGTTCTGTAGAAGTAGCGGAGGCCGGAGAAGTTGTACAGACGTTCTGTAGAAGTAGTGGAGAAGTTGCTGAGTTCAGCATTACAGTTGTCGGCGAATTATCTTTTTTAGCATTTTTGAAACTTAACAGCTACCAGTCGAATAAGCTATGAACTGTGAACAGCTGAAAAAGTTATTAGAGTCTGAGTATCATCCTAGACCGATTAACGTCTGGTACTTTTCACAAATACTCTTCAGCTAACAGCTGAGATCTCAACTACATTGTATATTTATCTAGAAGTATTATTATCATCGCCAGTCTCGCGCCGAGGGCCGAATTTGATGACATATCCAATTGTTTGATCTTCCAGCTCAAACTTTTGAAGCTAGTGTAGATTGTCTCTCATTACATCGAAAGCAAAAGCTCCCGAATGTGGCTATAATGGATATAATTAGTTGACGCACAATTAATAGAGCTGCCATGCTGGTATGTTAACAAATTCCGCCCCTTATATAGTAGCCGTATAGAAATTAGTGAGTTAGTGATATTGGTCATGATGTGGTGAGGGCATGACTCCGAGAACACAAAGACGTGAAACTTATTAACAAGGAATTTGCCAGTACAAAAGAAAAACTGGTAAAACTTTGAAGGAGAGCTAAGTTTGAGCTAGAATAGCCTGATCATTTTCCCAGCCTACACATTCTTTGTCGCCATTAATTTTATTCATGCTTCCTTGTTGTGTACTTCTGTATTATTTGACGAGAGTTTCAAATTATATTATTATTAAACTCAGTTTTGTTTTTTATTCACGTTTTGAGTACGTCTTGATAGTTGAGTACAATAATTTTGTACCAAGGATTACAATCTTATTCTTGGGACTTTTATTTTTAACAATTGAAACGTGGATATCAAAAGTAAATATATTTGTAACGGTTTGCACTGTCCGCTATCTCATGCTGGTAATTCTACTTTATGAACATTTATTGCTGTAGTCTGTATAATTTGAAAAGTATTTGATACAAAATAAAATTATACTTTCATCATCGCACCACATCAAATGCCAAACTTCGATTACAAATCATCAGATATCACTAACTTACTACACAAATAGAATTTTTAGTCAAATAACTTACTAAGTTACAAATATACCGAGCGCGAGCCACATAGCTCAGGGCTTCTAATTCAGTTAATTATAATAGGTCGTCATTCCCTAAAAATGCATTCGTATTCCTCAACGTTTGACGGCAGTTGGAATGTAACATGTTTTTCTATAAAAATGACGGCATTTTAAAATACTAGCTGGGTTTTTACATTACGGACGCGTTTATACAATCCCTTAGGGTCAGTGGGTCAGAGGGTCAGAGGGTCAGAGGGTCAGAGGGTCAGAAGGTCAGAGGGTCAGAGGGTCAGAGGGTCAGAGGGTCAGAGGGTCAGAGGGTCAGAGGGTCAGAGGGTCAGAGGGTCAGAGGGTCAGAGGGTCAGAGGGTCAGAGGGTCAGAGGGTCAGAGGGTCAGAGGGTCAGAGGGTCAGAGGGTCAGAGGGTCAGAGGGTCAGAGGGTCAGAGGGTCAGAGGGTCAGAGGGTCAGAGGGTCAGAGGGTCAGAGGGTCAGAGGGTCAGAGGGTCAGAGGGTCAGAGGGTCAGAGGGTCAGAGGGTCAGAGGGTCAGAGGGTCAGAGGGTCAGAGGGTCAGAGGGTCAGAGGGTCAGAGGGTCAGAGGGTCAGAGGGTCAGAGGGTCAGAGGGTCAGAGGGTCAGAGGGTCAGAGGGTCAGAGGGTCAGAGGGTCAGAGGGTCAGAGGGTCAGAGGGTCAGAGGGTCAGAGGGTCAGAGGGTCAGAGGGTCAGAGGGTCAGAGGGTCAGAGGGTCAGAGGGTCAGAGGGTCAGAGGGTCAGAGGGTCAGAGGGTCAGAGGGTCAGAGGGTCAGAGGGTCAGAGGGTCAGAGGGTCAGAGGGTCAGAGGGTCAGAGGGTCAGAGGGTCAGAGGGTCAGAGGGTCAGAGGGTCAGAGGGTCAGAGGGTCAGAGGGTCAGAGGGTCAGAGGGTCAGAGGGTCAGAGGGTCAGAGGGTCAGAGGGTCAGAGGGTCAGAGGGTCAGAGGGTCAGAGGGTCAGAGGGTCAGAGGGTCAGAGGGTCAGAGGGTCAGAGGGTCAGAGGGTCAGAGGGTCAGAGGGTCAATAGAAACAAGAGGGAATATATGAAAGTGGACAAAAGATAAAAAGGTGAAAGACAAAGATATAGGTTCATAACAGAAACAAAAGGTTGTGGCAAAATATATATCAATCATTTTCGTCGTTGGAAATAGGCTCAAAATAGTCTTAAAAGGTAAGAATATGATTTTATTCGGCACAGCCGAATGCCGATATTTCAGTTACGACCCATAGATATACACTTGTTTTATCTCAATTCCTTCTAAAAGTATTTCATTGTCCATCACAACAAACGAAGAACCTTCAGACGTCCACATCGGCTTTAAACCTTTACAGCGGCTTTGCTATGGAGAAAACATCAAAGGGCTTGTATAAGTCAAAGACTAATTTCACCGATTTGGCGGTTTTGAACGATTCAGTGTTCCTTTATCGATTGAACGGAAACTTTAAAATAAATTGTCGCACTATGATCTGAATCTGATAACATATGTTACTACTGTCCCTTGTTAACATGTGGTACTGCAGTAGAGAAGCAATAAGCATGGTCTCCAAATATAATCGCGGTGAAGCTGAACCAGCCGAGTTTCCGACAGTGTCTTTTGGTTTTCAATTTCCTGTTGAAGCTGTTAATTTCCACGGCTTCCCGTCCTGTGAACTATAACTATTAATATCTCTCAGCTTAATATAACACACGTGCAATCTATCCAAATATACTGACTATTAACTGAAAAACATGAGCTGTTGACACGTTAGTAGACGTCAATAATAGAGACTAATAAAAATACTACAAAAACTTAAGGTCTCGCATATCCAGGAAGCTTATAGTTCTTATATAAAACTAATTACATGTCCATATAAGGAATCAGCCCAGATGATGATGCCATTTTGGGAAGCCACACCAACCCTCCAGATAGTCAGAAGCCTGGTTCAACATCCGGCAATTGTGTGAGAAGCTCTTCGGATGTGATGATAGCGCTTCAGAACCTTAAACTTAGCTTACATCAGGTGGTGATGGTGCGCGTTACATAGCAACCAAATATTCATGCTATGGATGGAAATAGTTGAACTATATTTTTAATTAGATGTATTCATTGCTGTCAGACGTTGGCTTTTTGTCCGCTCTGCCGCATTTTTAGGAAAACTTTAGGATATAGGTATTAGCTTTAGGATTTATTTTATATTAGGATAGATTTTAGGATAGATTTAGGATAGACATTGGAATAGACATTCCTCAACTCAACGAAAGTTCTTAATAAAGGTAATTTTTCACATATTAGAAATCTTTACGTCATTTATATGTCAATGTTAGACTAATTGATTAACTATTGCACTAAATAACAGCAGTGTTTATATATACATCTTTTATAAACTGCATGAATACACATCAACAGTATTTTTAATATACGTGTTTTGATATACCAAACGTGTGCAACTTCCACCAAGTTACCACAAATTACATTTTCTTAAACCTCCACCACAGCATTATATATCTGGCCAAATTCCACCACCATAACATGTAACAACATTTAATTCAAGTAGACATGTGAAACCACACAAAATGGTCAGGATTCACCAGTCGGGGAATACGTCCCCACGTGAAGCCCATATATGGTCATGACTGATGACTCTCCTGCCAGAAATGGTTTAATAGCGTCATAACTATGATTTATCTAATATCTGCACCGTGGTTATTACTGGTGGTTAGGATTTGTAAATGCCAATAATTGTATGGTACTTATCAGTGGTTCTATACCAAAAGAGCAACTAATTTGGTGGATGACGTGAGCGTCACCCAGTGGCAAATAATACCATGTCTGCCTTTAAATCACATTATTTACGAACTATTGCAGTTCAAATTCAGTTCGACGCGAGTATATCGTAATACTAATAGCTTTTCGTTTAACTTGGCCAGATTTTCTTGTTGTGCAGTTTGTCGTCAGGCAATGATTTCATCGTTCAGTTGGCCAGTTGTATTTGCTTGAATTATCAATCAACCGTGGATCCAACGTATATTGGATACAGTGATCACATCTACAATGTAATGGTGCGGTTCTCACAGAAGAGAAAGGTTGATATAAAAATGAGGAGTTTTTTCAGTAAGATAGTGCTGTGCTGTGCGGGAACTGATCCGTCATGTGCTAGTTGTCCCTCCGGAAGACCCTCTTTAATCGTCCCAAACACTCCCCCTTTGGAGCGGAAGAGGCGGTCTGTGGAGCGGAAGAGGCGGTCTGTGGACGAAGGAGTTGAGCTTAATGCCCCGACTGTCATTGTTGTTGATATAGACTCCTGGGATAGTGATGACAATGAGGGTTCAGACGCTTATAAGACATTGGTAAAGACAGAGAGTGTGATCAGAGAATGTAAGGACAATAATTTATCAGAATCATATGGGACGGTAGCTGCCGGGATTGTACCGATAACAAACCGAGCCCCTTCTCCCACCTCCAACAAAACATCACCCTACCCTAAACTAGATATGATGGAATACACTTTCAGTGGAACACTCGAACCTACAAAGAAATCTTCCATAAAGATCCCTAGATTAGCCCCTGTGATATGTGTCTCCTCTCCTAGCGGTACTAACACTGACTACATTACACATGAGTCAAGCAGTGGGGAGGAAACTACCGTGGTGTCTCCTCCTGTGTTACAACACGTAGAAAGTGGGGTGACGGGACGAGTTGTGGCGCGGTTAAACGGTAAACGTGCACGTGTAGGGGGAGCGTGGAACAAGAGGAAGCTGAAGAGGACTGACTTGAAGTCAAACTCTGTTCTGGATGCATCGTGAGTAGAGTTAGAAGTCGTTACATTTTTTGAATTAGTGCTAGGAATTTTTGGAATACTTTAGGGAAGCTACGTACCTATAATACATTCCGATAAGCATCAATGATATTCCTTTTAATTCTTGGGGCCTTAGCCTCACAGTTCGTTGAATGACGTCTGCATCTGAGTAAATGAACATATGGGAATAAAATACATCATTACATACTCTGATCATAGATAAAAAGCCATACTACATATTATAGTGTCGTAGTATGAGGTATGTTGTCAAGTTGTCATCTATATTAGACACGTATAGAATGTGTCGTTGGGAATCAAACTTAAGCAATCATATTCAGGACGTAGGTTTCACAAAACATTCAAGTACAGTGCAGTTAATGAACAACGTGTAAATTACGCAACAAAATTATGATTACAATGTCGGAGCCATTAGCAGAATTCCGACTTCCAATCAACCATATACTATATTGCCGGCGTTCTCTAATTTCTTTTAATTAACACGAAGTATAATTGTGCTGAGTTATACGGGCATATAATTGAGCACCTATCACTCCCTATAATAATTCAAAACTTTCTTATACATTAAACATATTATATAAGTACGTCTATTTTGTTTCCTTAAACATCTCCGAGGTGTTATTTCTCAGCTCATTTTTAGAATTAGAACAAGTGTTATCAAACTTACAGTTGTTTTTGTATAGACAACGTTGGATGTGTGACAATTAACAATTACAAAACGTGCTCCTTAGTCCTTATATACTAAAGCTTTATTTTGACCGCTGCAGTCGCTCCAATAATTACGAGTTCAAAAGTTGCTGAAGTAAAATTATTTGGAACATTGCTTAAGTGTTACTGTTAAGTTCCTTTTTAAGTTCCCTACTAATGTCGCCTAAGTTTTAATCACATCAACTGAAGATATGATACCGACGTCATTTGGGTAAGCTCTTTACCTTTATACTTTTATAAGCGTATATAATATGTAGTATGCTATGTAGTATGTCGTATAGAATGTCAACATATTGGTCACTAATATTACTGCCTCTTTGAGCGTCTGAAGGTGACATTATTCATATCACACAATATACAACAACGTAGCTTGGTAACGTAGCAGCTTCAGAACAAGTAAAAGCTGCCAAAATATGTTTATAAGTTATAAAAATATATGTAACGGGAGCTGTTTGTAATCGTCTACTTACTTTGATGATGTTACTTTTTTATGTTATGTAAAGTGCTTCACAAGTCTAAGTAATGGTGTCTAAAGCAAATTTTTCTCTGTGAATTTCATTTGATTTATTTACAAATTTTACAAAAGTCTCGTATTTGAGTTGAGATCCATGTTGAAAAATATTACGTAACTGGTGTGAGAAGTTACTAGTTTAATCAAGCATCGAACAACACAAACTGACAGCAAATTGCTGCTTACTGTAAATTAAATGTCTTCTGGTGTATTTCTGGAAATTTTCTCCAAAAGTAGTTTAGTTTTTTCTTTTCTCATGCGAAATCCTCAAAATTTTCCCACGAAATGTAGAGAATGTTAGTATTAGTACATGCTACCATAAATATACACATGTTAATAAATTTGTAAAACCTATTCATCACATGAATTTTTACAATATTTTTTGTTTTTGACTCAGTCGCAGTTTTAGATAGCTTACGGACGGGTCTTTCGAGTATAAGTTTTCACAGAATTGGCATTGCATCCATGATTTGTATCTTTTAAATTCGACTCGAATCAATTTAGTGTAATTCAGTTTACGACCAACCACACGAGTTTGCACTATAGGACTCACTAATAATTGTTAATTGATCACGTGATCTTAATACGATTATAGTCCCCATGACCCAAATCCCAATACTAGATCAGCGTGTGATTTAATGTATATTAACAGTATGAACTTGAAATCTCCATCACTGATTCAACCGGAAAGAAACATGAAACTTTATCATTCCTTCATTCTTTGAAACAATTTTAAGGCTTCCCATCATTATTAAATCTTCATCGGAATTTGGCCTTGTATCGTACAGGCTGATATATGTACATGCGCGATCAGTCGGGATATGAATTCTAAGTTTTATGTAAATTTTATGTATTTTACCACGCACTGACTAAATTCTGTTGATCCATAAACTCTACTTGTATTTACAGCTATCCAGTACAATCTTTTATTTGCAGCTACCCAGTATATATGTATCATGTATGTAAATATGTTGTCCGAAATGATTTCAGTTTCAGCTCCAAATTGTGCAGATCAGCGATCACTATAAATAACCCATTAAATGGTTTGATCAGATCTGGCAGGAGCTGCATCTTTTCTTCACCTACATCACAAATGATATTATAGCACGTGCCGCTCAAACGTGTCCCATTTTCCATCAAATTTGTCCTCTTTGTATTATACTTCAATTCAACTGATAAGCCCATGCACTTCTGTAATACTAATACTTTTGTAATTCTAAGCCGGTACAGTTCGTTTTTAGAATCCTCCATGACGACTAAATTACAGTCGGCTGTGGAACGTGTTGATTTTTTGTTTTTCAATTAATAGCTAGCTCGGTTAATCGTGTTACATCGTTTGTAAAGGGGATCTTGACGGTTTTCTTATCAGTTATCATGCGACATTTTCATCTCAATTAATTCAGATAGCACTTTTGATTTTTCATCTTAAGCTTCAAATATTCCGTCAAAATTGAAGCACCTGTAATTGAGATAAAACTAACCAATTTATTTGCTAAGTATCCTTATTTCTTTAACTATAAGTACAATTGTGGGTTAATAAACTAGAATACTAATACAATTAACTATTTCTTTTTCAGAGAAATGCGTCTCCTTATAGAAGATGATAATACGATATCAGACTACGATACAGCTTCTTTAGGTGAGGAAAATAATATTATAATATAATATTATATTATTATAATAATATATAGAATTAATTATTGTATTGACTACTTAGTGACATTAGTTATTGAAGGACTTACTATTAATAAGTGTATAATATATATTAATAAGTATATAACACACAATTAATTAATTGAGTACACTTGATTGAATTTAACATACGTTATACTGCTTTCTTATTTGGGTATAATCAAGCTAGCTATAGTATACAATTAATTATTGTACTTTATATCATTATAGTCAGGTATAAAATGCACATTACAACTTAGTAAAGTAGTTTATCTATAATCTATTTTTAGATATATGTATTTACGTATCTATTTATATTCTGCTGCAGGGTGCAGTTTAGGCCATTCATTTAGGAGTTTGAGTTATTTAATTTAAAAATCCACTACATAACACTCTGAAAACTCTGAAATTTTTCGAATGAGACATAGTTAGTTGCAATTATTAAGGTGAACACTTAGCAGTTAAGCTAAAGCTTAGTTTATCACTATTCACTATTCACTACCTTCAAAATCTATATATTCATTAATAAATCTATATATTCATTAATAAATAAATAAAATAAATATTCATTATCTATATTACACTGACTCAGTGATTCTTTCAAGAAAATTTCTGGTTTGTCTGAATAGACTGAGTGATGACAATATTCTAATGAAGGGAAATGAGGATCAATAACACTAGTACACGACTTAATCAGATTGACTCGGTGAAATTATTCACTGAGTCAATTTAACACCTTTATACAAATGACGGCTAATGGCTTTCACGCCCTTGACAATAAAAAAACCGAAGTGAGTGGTCAAGCCAGCAAATAAGTGGGAGAATAAATTGCGAGGAGAATTAAGGGTCATTTAACCTGATCCCATACAGCTGAGAGCTTCCATTTATTATGGTTAATTCATAATTGCACATTATTGATGCGTAAGCTATAATGGGTTGTGAAATGGGATTTTACTTCTCATCAAGTAAAAAACAGAGGCCTATAAGTATAACCGCGAAACTCTACATTGCAAAGTAACGATAACGGTTATTTAAGCTTTTAAGGATACTAGGATTATGAAAATACAAATGTTACACCTGGGTGATCCTTGTAAAATCGTCACAGTATTTGTCACACGATGATAGTTAGTTACAGAAACGGAAAATCGTCACTGCCTTCGTCACAAGCTGGCTAATGGAATTAAAATACAATCTCCACGCCCGCCAAACCTTTTAAATGGGCACTCATCTGATTCCTTTTGGAGCCAAATCTGAACTGAATACAAGTTTTGAATTCTTTATTGATACATGGTTCGTGATATGAACTCGCTCAACGACTATTTTGAAATGTACCGAACAATTTGTTGCGTATATAAGGGCTCACATTCACTCACATAACTATATAGCTAACAGCTATTATAGCTATTTGCATCACTTACCTTATCAGATTTTATTTGAACATTGATTGTACGCTAAAAGCCCTAGCGTTTATTATAATGTCCGTTCAAATACTGCCCGCTAAAGTAGTTCAATTCAATACATTAAATGAATGCCTTTGAGCGTTCGTTTTAATGTCCGTTGAAAATTATGTCCGTTCACGGGATGTCCGGTCAAATAAGTATAACGTCCATTAAGGTATGTGCATTTGTATCACTTATGTGCATTTTTCAGAGCATGTGTTGATTATAAGTACTGCTCGAACTATGAATTCTTTTAGTGACGATGTAGAGGGGCTGTCCCAGGCTTTTGTTTGGAGTGCACAGCCTTTTTAGGACTGTGATCATGGTGCTTTTGTTGCATTGAGTCGGATCGTTATAAGTATATCGGAGCCGATAGATAAATTTGTATATTGTTGTAATGCAATTTGTGTTTTATCGTCAGTCTCATTTAGTGATTTTTACTAATACATTGTAGAGTAATTATTAACATCGTTCTTAATTCTTATTTGATGATTTTGATATTGATTGCAGCGTAATTCTTATTTGCCCTATACATTACTGCCTGCAAATAGTGTTAGTATCATTGTTTCTTTATGTCTTTGTTTCTGTTGCTTTCATTGATAAAGCTCTTCTGATGATTTAGTGTGTACCCATATACTGATACTATCCTGTGGGTGTTTTCTTTTTTGATAAAGGGTGACTTAAGTAACCGAAATATGTTTCGTAATGATATTTATGACTTAAATCATCAAATAAATATTGCTTTTGATAGGGCAAATTGGTGCAGAATGCAAGCCTTATGATTCTGCTTTTTAGATAAAACTTAGATAGCAGCGTTGTGTTTACACTATTTGTTATTAAGAACTTCTGTGTATGTGCTTTCTTTTACAACAAAGTGCTGTACTGCATTAAAATTAACAATCGTTCTATTTGACACTTTTATCAGTCCCAATTAATACACTAAAATATGTGACTTGAGTGTTTGTCCTGGTTGGGAGGAACTTACTATGGTATTGTTCCAGACGACTTCAGTGCTGCAAATTATTGTTGACTTTAAAAGGAGTAAGTTACTTACATTGTGTTGGATGGGACACATAACAGTCAATTTTAATGAAACGCCTGACACTTATCATGACAGCTTCAGCCAGATATTATGTTACTATTTTTGGCATACTTTGTAGGTCTTTACTGGAAATAGCAGATTCTGTTAGACTCCGCCGCACCATCAGTAAATCCTACCTAGACTACCATTATAGTCTAGGCTGAATCTGCTACAGTTTGAACTACAATCTAGCAAAACCTACTGAAGTGATTCATATAGGTGTGGAGAAGTGGAACACTACAGCTTTACACCAGTCTGCCTATACAGTCTCTAAATATCTACGCGGGGAATCTTTGCGTTGTCTGATGCTGATTTTTTAGTCCCATCCCGGGATCTGGTAGTCTCATCGTCCTACGGACTGAATTGTCCGACTCATATTCTTGCACATTACTATCTGCCATACAACTATTTTTTTTATAGATGGCAGGCAATATAAATACAGCGACAGAAATCAAAGCATAGGAATGGAAGTAAAGTTGATTTAAACCTTTACCTTCATTAGAAAATTGTCATCAAGTCCAGTGGCGTAACGAAGGGCCCCGCTGACCCCGCTGTGCGGGGGGGGGGGGGGGGGGGGGGCCAAATCGTCGTTTGAATGTGGGACAATTTTGAAAAACTTAATTGACAACGCCACTGATCAAGTCTATTAAAAAAAATCATAAAATGAGATCAATAAAACTACACGACTTAATCAGGTCGTATAAGTATAACACCGCCAAACTTATTGAATTATCATTAATTAAATTATTAAATTGTTAAATATATACCCGATAGTAACACGTGGTGTGACGTCATAACACGTGCTCCTTTTCAGAGGTAAAGAGTCTGCAGAGTAAAAGGGTAGTTTACCTCTCCAAACACCTCATCCACAGCCCAAATGGTCTGACGGATCCACTAAAAAGGGTAAGTTACTTTATGACTGATGTGTATTATGCAAACACATATTATACTAATATAAACATATATTATACGTATAAATTGTAATGCTCTATACCGTATAGGGCATAACACGTAAGTATACTGCTAGTTCTATTACCCTTAATACAATTATAATCCAAATACTGCCGTATACAACTTTTACTGAGTTGCTGCTTAATGTGACTAATAGTGCACAGCAATTATACAGCTTTCACAGCTCTTCGTGACAATGATACTAGTACGCATTAGGCTTCCTTTAAATATCAAATTTATTGGGAATTAATGGCAAAAATTTGTTTGACTGATTTTTATTGAACTAATTATACGTGTAATTATTAAGAAAATCATGCACGTAACTTAAAAAGTAAAAACGTATGAACATAACCAATACTATAAAATCAAACAAGTTAATCATTTGCCACCGATGATTGGTTTGTTCTATTTATGCTTATATGTACCGTGAAACGATATATTCTTCCATCGCTATCTCGATTATTTCACATATTTGCTGTATAATACATAACTATAGAATTACGTGAACATATCTATAAACTATTAAACATAAATACAAGCAGTACATAATATTATAGATAACTATAAAAATATACACATAATTAAGAGCTATACTTTATTTACAAAGTATATAAGTATTCTGCAGAACTCTCTTATCAGGCAGCACTCATCAATGAATTTATACAAGGGATCTTATATGGATTTGTGATACAACCCCTAATTACTACACTACCGTTACTACACTATACTGTTGTCTGTTTAATACTGTGTACTTTAATATGTATATTAATATATAATTAATTATATGTTAATTAATATGTATATTATACTTAATAATTATTTGCATAATTTTCCGGAGCAAATATGTTCCTCCGGCTTGAAATGTTCATAACTTCAAATTTTGGTGCTGACCGTAAAAACTCAGAAATTCTCATGGATTTGCAAGGACGCACGTGTTCACTGTTCAAGCTTTGAAAAATAATATCGTACAGTTTTTCCGTGTTTCCGCCACATGACTACGTCACATAAGTCGTCATTCGGACCCACAATGAAGGAAAATAACCCAGGATTCTATTTTTAAAACTTTCACAGGAGTTGTCCTTGGTGTCATCGTACGCAATGTTAAAACCACTTGATCGAGTGATGATTGAGTTTCTGAGTTACGGTGCTAGATTGTTTCTTAAAATTTACAGCGATTTACGACTGCGCCAATGAAATAAGATTTGTAGTCCGTACATAGTCTCGTACTAAGGTACTACTCCTCCATAAGCTTTGTACACCACATTTGCGAATACGCTGGGTAAATAGCGATAATTTTTAAAATTAAGGGGCCTTATTTTTGTATTCTTACCACAACAGTGCAGTTTTTAGACATAGTAACTGTTTTTTGCGCTTCTTTGGCCGGGCCGACCGCCGTCAAGTTTTGCACATAAAAGTTGTCTCGTCGATATTTGCTGATCCGCCATTTAAACCATATTAGTTCACTTTTTAGATTTTCAGTTCCTTGCCAAGCTTATAGTTATTAGTGCTCTTTAACAATTTTAATCAATAATTTCAACATTTTCAACATTTTCACCCGGAAAACGTTACGTAACTCGTCATGTCAGAACCTTTTCACGATCGATTAGAACATGAACAGTTCGCTGCATGAGTGACGCATAGAAGCGTAATCACGGCAAACTGTTACACGTATAATTTAGTAATTTCACTAATCTATTTTTCATTTGTAGCCTTAGCAAGCATATAATACCTGATTGAGCTCAGCTCCTACGACATTGTCCGTATATATGATGGAAAATCATTTGCTTTGATTGCTGTTTTTTGACGATCTCTTGGACAAACACACACTCGAGCCTTCTCTCCACTTTTGATGAGCGCCATGAGTTTTCTCCCGGTTCCAGTTCCTATCCTCACCAAACCAGCTCGAATCAGACTGAACACCCCTCCTTCTGATGCAGAATTCAGGTCCAGGAGAAGAACGACTAGCTCCACCCTCAACAGACTCGTTCAGGTAAACACCTACACAGTAATCTACATACATAATCTACATATATAATCTACATACATAATCTACATACATAATCTACATACATAATCTACATACATAATCTACATACATAATCTACATACATAATCTACATACATAATCTACATACATAATCTACATACGTAATCTACATACATAATCTACATTCTACATACATAATCTACATTCTACATACATAATCTACATTCTACATACATAATCTACATTCTACATACATAATCTACATACATAATCTACACAATAATTCACATACATAATTCACATACATAATTTACATACATAATTGACATACATAATCTACATACATAATCTACATTTAATCTTCCTCATAATTTTTCATAATTTGTTATGAAAGTGTAAAATTAATGGTTGGTGGTGGTCAACTTTCCTTCTTAACATTTTTTTTTCTGTTTTCAAGTACAAAAGTTTTTTAACTACCACATGCCAGTCTTTAAAACACACGTTCGTCCACAATATCACCGTTCTATAAATTAATGTCCGCTACATAAGTGCAGATCCAAATAGGGATTGGTGGGGTAGCTTGGTGGGGTAAGCCTCACAAGCAGGTTCCACTTGAATTTACATCACACTTCAATGAGGGTGGAGTTCCAGCCCCACCCTTGAAACCATTAGATCACCACATCACTGCACAGTGCACACATGACACTGTATATAGTAGTTAATACCCAGTAATCTGGATCCAAATATAGGGCTTGGAGGGGTAGCTTGAAATACTTTATGTTAAAAAGTTTTTTGTTATGATCAATCACTATTAAACATTGTTTATAAAACCGATGTACTTTAAACTGTAATCTGTTCTTCATTGATGGTGGTAGACAATGTTACCTGGTGCGTACAGCTTGATCATCACGTTTTAAATTATCTTCTTCACGAGATAAAAAAAGTTTTTAAAGTCAATACTTAAAAGTTGCCGTGAATTTAAAAACGAGTTGAAAGCAGTAATTACTCTATATCCTTTCCATCTCCTCCAGTCTCCATATTTAGTATTGTCTAATAAGCAAAAATTACCCCTAATATTTGGTGATATCTATTTTAGAACCTTGACACCGGAAGTACGCCCACACTTCCGAGGCGAGGTTACTGGTCCGGCTTCCTCCTTCCGGCCATCGCGGACAACACATCACGGACAACACATCACGGACAACACATCACGGACAAGACATTCACCATAGCTGGTGTTCCACCTAACACCTGATGCTAATTGCTTTATACTTATGTCACAACGTTGAACTATCTTGTAAACGTGTAGACAGGACTCTATATATTTATATAGTAATTGGAGATGAAATGAGTACGCCCAGTGCTAGTAAAGTAGCAGCGTGTTGATCATAAATATCTTGGTAGCTTTCCATGAGCTCTTTTGTCTCCAGGTCCGCTCCATAAAGTTGATTCCCAGCTGCAATTTGATCCGGTTCACATACGCTGCTCTATTAGTGCTTTTCATGCAACAAGTAAAACAAATCCTTTATGTCATGTTTCCAGGGTTTGGACTGGAATTGCCTGCTTAAAGAACCTCCATCGCATTACATTACATAATTTTCTGAAACATATATTACATTTACAATAAATTATGCAATATCATAACATTACAATCAACAAAATAAATTTAATCACAGAATCTCAAATGCAAATAATCGTAAATTAAACACAACAAAACAAATTAAACATGCAATAAATGAATATACGAATGCGCATCTTTTGTCAACTTACTCCTTCATAAAATTAATTTTTGACAAAAAAATTTTTTAGACGGTAAAATAATGGTTACTAATTTATAAGTCACAAATAATAAATCAATACAAATTAATCACAAATACTAGAATAATTAATAGATATTAGGTAACTTATATAACTGAAAAACGATATATGTCGATACAAATTACAAAATAATATTAGGTGATTGAAACATTTCAATAAATTCATCATAAATATCACTACCATATTTACCCCAAATATTTAATCTTGATTTATAAAACTTGACAAACTTGTTGCGCAAAGCAGCTAACTTAAATCCTTGCGCAACCAATTTACCTAAAAGTTCGGTAACACAATTTTTGAAACCCTTAAGTGTCGAATTAATTCTGGCTAATCGTACTAATTGAGAAATAAATATTCCATAAGACAAATTATTTGGAACGTTTCCATCCAAAAAAGGATAAGATATAACTTTAAAATTATAATCTTTTCTTTTATCATATAACGTCACTCTAAACTTTCCTTGATAAATACTAATGTTTAAGTCTAGATAGCAACATTTACGAGCCGAAATATTAGTATTATTTACTATCATTTCCTTAGGATAAATATCTTCTAATACATTCTGTAATAAATTGAAATCATTAAAAACTATCAAATCATCTTGATAACGAAATGTGTCTTTTAATCTTTTTAGATTTTCTGTATCCCCTTGTTCTATCAAAAGTTTAATATATTTATATTCGTAAACATGTAAATAAACATTAGCTATTTGTGGTGCTGCATTGGTACCCATTGGTATTCCAATAACTTGTCTATAAATTTGACCCTGATAAGTAACATAAGAATTATCAATCAAATAATTAAGACATTCCAAAAGTGTATCTTTAGAAAAATGAACTTTATTTTTACTAACATTATCAGAGAAATAGGCCTTCTTAGTATAAAGATTAGGAATAATATAAGACTTATCTTTAAAATCAAATACTCTTTCTACAAACATACGAAGATTATCCTTCAATTGAATATGAGGAATAGATGTATATAAAGTTGAAAAATCATAAGTACTGACAGACTTTAAACCTTTCTGGGTATTATCATAACTAAGAAAATCTAAGATAGGCTCATTATTATCAATAACAAAATAATCATTTCTAACGTGAAATTTATTATCATATATAGATTTATTTTTAGCTGAGTGAAGCATAGATTTAATACAAATGCTAAGATAGACTGATAATTGTTGTAAACTACATCCACTACCAGACGTTATATATCTAACTCCGACTGGCTTTTTATGCTGTTTTGGTGTAATATATAAATAAGGTAATTTGCTATTATCTTCATCAAATTTAATACGATGTTTAAGTAAGAATGCTTTATGCTCATTAATTATATCATCTTCTGAACGATTAACTTTAGTAAATGTATTCGATGATAATTCCTTTTCAATCATACTAATATAGAACTTTTTACAAACAATAGTAATATTATTTTTGGCTTTATCGGTAGGAACCAATACAAAATCTTTATGAAGCTCATCTAAATCTGCTAAGACTTCAACATCTGATAATACTGAATAATAGGGATATGGTTTAGCTCCTTGCAGTTGAATTTTCACTTGCTCTATGATTAGTGTTTTCCACTCTTGAAACTCTTCTATAGGTTTATGCCATAAATTAGACAATTTATCGCAATAGCTTTTGAGTGCCGTCTTTACTGATTTTAAAGCTTTTTCAGTACATGGTTTAGCTTGGTCTCTATAATTTAATCCCTTCATGAGGAGATTACGAAGTTTATCATTACTGATCATTGATAGCTCTCCTGTAATGACATGTTTATGAGTAGGGTCTGTATAACGACTTGATGCACAATTACATTTCAATGTTTCTGAGTCAATGTTAGCTTCATTATATACTTTTTTGTAGTTAAGTACTTTAGATCTGATTGTTGGAGGGTATTTGTAGGACAATGTAGGTTGCTGATGATACTTTGACTTGAATGGTGCAGCTTTAGTAACTTGTTCCATTTTAAATATCTTTCGAAAATCAATATACTCGACAAATTTATTAACATAATTAACTACAATAAAAGAATTTGATTTACTATTATTCTTACACGCTAAACCCATTCTTGTAAGGTAAAACCATGATAAATCTTTAACTAAGAGAATTTTATGAAATCTATATGTCGTTATACTACTATTAAAATTATTAATATAAGATATAGCTTTAATATATACTAACTTAAGTTGTTTCTTTTTAAGATTACATAGATTAGTACGAATATCATGCATATCAATCATATTATCATCATCCAGCAAATCTTCATAAAATACATCGATATCAAATTCTTGTCTTTCACTTACTATATTACTAATGAATCTACCTCCACGTGAATGTCTATTTATTTTAACTATATCGAACTGACTATAAATCGTTGTTTTAGAGTTCATCACAATATTGCAGGCATCTAGTATGTTCTTCTTTTTAACACGAACGTTGAGACCATATGGGAAAACTGTATTTAACTGCAACATACAAGCTTCTTCAATATCTTCTTTTTCTTTCAATGTAGTATTATTAGGTAAGAGTTTAATCGGCATGATAGCCATGTTTTCAGTGCTATGAATTTTAGTGAAGTGATCACGAAGTATTTTGCAGCCTCCACCACGTTTTATAGTAGATTTATGTTGGCTTATTCTAGAAGCAATTGAATTGATCGTGTGCCCAATGTATTGATATTTACAATCTTTATGCAAGCATTTTATCAAGTAGATACAATTCTTCGTTTGACATGATCCATTAAAGTCAATGAGGAAAGTAGAGTTTGTGGTGCTATTAGTGTAGAAGTTGTCAAAAGAAAGGCGGTTTAAGCATGTAACGCATGATTTTCACTTTTATCAACTTTGTTATTACTGGTCGCTTTACTCCTTCATAAAATTTTGTATTACTGGGCGCTTTATTTAATCTAATTACGGAAATTAGTCCGAGTATTTATAAATACGTGAACGTCACAATGTATGCTCTTTACTTATCCCCACTTCTATATCCACAGTCTGCCGGTCACCTCAGTATACTCTCTCTTGCTCTACATCATATCCCATCTGCTCTGAATTACAAACATCATAATAACAAGCACTACACGTAGTTATGAGCTCACAGAACATGGCACTGCCCCTTTTACAGCACCCGTAAATAACCAGTCCCCTTTACCACACACATAACCAGGCCTCTAACCTAATCACCTGGCACCGCTGATAACATTATGTGATCATTACAAAAGGCACCGATTGAGTTATTTGGGATTCTAGTTCCTTCACAGTCTCGAACTCTCTCACCTATCATATTCGCTCCCTTTGCTGCTACCCACCCCTCGGTCACTTGCATATTTGTCGAGGATATATTATTGTTAATATACTGTTGTTTTGTATTTCTCTAATTTCTGCGTGATTGTAGCTTGTAGATCATCAGCAACCGGATCCTAAAGTTGAAGACTCGCTCTACTCGACAGTTTGTTCCTAAAGTTGAAGACTCGCTCTACTCGCTTTTATACTAGTATAATCTTTGCTTTGTTCCTGAACGAAGATAAACCAAGTGCAGCCGCTCTCTTTTTCATTTAGAAAGTTCATATCCTACACAGTAAAGGATTTGTCACAGTATCTAAAGAGAAAGAATCTCTGAAGATAGTTCCTGAAAGCAAGATACATTGTGAGAACACGATGGTACTTGACATGGACTACCTACAAGTGCCCAGGAGGAAGAATAGCGTGGGAAGAAACCACCTTTCTGTCAAACCTCTTCTACATTGGACTAGCGAATGGGAAGATGTACTTTCACAGGTAAATATATCAGCTGCTCCTTCATAATATTTTGTATCATTTCTCAAAAAAATTGTCACACTTTCTGTGGTACACCCTGCAATATCAGCTGCCCCTTTATCTTTAGTCAGTTCCCTATTTAATTATATATTTGATGTGGTTTACGTTGTCCGTTGTTGTCGATTGTTTGCCTTTATGACGTAAGTTGTTTTAAATTTCAAAGTGAACTGCCACAAACGTGTTTGATATCTGGTTTGAATTGTTGCCAAAAGATGTTAGTTGTTGATCATGCTATAAGTGTGGTGTGCTAACTGCTAATCTGTAAACACTGTTCTTTGTTATCATAGGCGTGAAACTGAATCTGTACTATAAGCCTCACAAGCAGGTTCCACTTGAATTTACAACACACTTCAATGAGGGTGGAGTTCCAGCCCCACCCTTGAAACCATTAGATCACCACATGAAACCAACCACACCACTGCACACATGACACTGTATATTATAGTACCCAGTAATCTAGCTGGTATACATCAGAAGATCGAGAAGTTTCTCTACAGATTAATTGTGTATACCTGGCACATCTGTACCCATTGTCACGTGATACCCCTTACAGGACACTTAGAAATATGTGTTGACAGCAAATTCTTGCCACAGAACGGATATCTGGAGAGTGTTTGCTATATTTACATATATGTGTCTTACCGTTCATGTTGTCCCTGCAGAGCCTTCCGTTTTAATTTCATCGTCCTAATTATCCCATCTTAAATATTCCGCCTGCTTTGTGATTTTGCAAGAAATTAGGTGGTTTGAGTTGCTGGAGTGATGAGCTTGAAAGCTATTCGTAGGGAGAGGTCCAACGCTATCTGTAGTAAGGACATTAAGGACAAGAAACGAGTCAGATTTAAAGATGACGATGGGGTGTGTAGTTACAATATACGTAATAACATATTTTAAGAAGGAGCAAAGCATACGTGGAGTTTAATTAGTCTCGCTTGAGTCGTTATATTAGTTCTGGAATGCGAACTTGGGCTCACCATTTATACAAGCTTAGGTTTTATACTTTGAGATTGTCAAATATGATAATGTATTGGAGAAATATACATGCCGTCAAGAATACGCTGATAGTGGTAGAAAGTAGTTGAAGAAATTAATAAAATGATAATTTCAAGTTTTTCAAAGTCCGGAAAGACAATATATACAGATATACATAGGGCGCAGTAAAATATGTGCTTACGACACAATGAAATAGCAAAGCTAGTGAGCAACTATATAAGACAGTACTATAATTATTATTTTCCTAATAACCTATATATATATATTATATATATATCGGTTAAAGTTCGGTGCTGTGAAGCTATTTTTTGTTGTTTGTAGTGCTTTTGTTGTATTAAGATTCAAAGGCGAGTCTGTCTATGCGATAAGAAACAAAATATTAACGCTAAAATAAGTTTAAGTGCGTGTTTTTTAATTTTTTGAGTTCATTTTCAAATTTTATGAATCTCACCTCAACCTTATTAAAAAAGGTAATGCGATAGATATCAGTATCTGTATAAATCACATTTTACTGCACTAAGTCTAAGAGACTTTTTTCTTTATGGCTCACACTTACTACAACATGGAAGTTTCCAGAGAAACTTTCTCCCTGTCTAACAGTTAACTTTAACATACAACCGATGACAATAAAGCAACAACAACAACTACTTGTTGAGTTGATGACCTTATACCTCCCAGTATTATAAATACAGAATCTCCCACCCTGTCACCTCTCAATAAACCAACCCCTGTCCAATACAGGTGTTATTTGTTGATGATCTTACTTTTTAGCACCCTGTCCGTGAACTAACCCAGTCCCCTGCAGGTGCTGCTGGCAGTGGAAGCCCCCGCTCTGGGCGGCAACACCCTCACTCCCACCATCCCTGAAGATGACACAGTCATGGAGAAGCTTCTCAAGGTCAAGGTCGGTACAATTGTTTTACTTTTGTCTTTTTCAAAGTAACCGTCGGTATAATTTTGTATTTTGTTTTCAAAGTAACACCGTGTCGGTACATGTGTTCTCTTTTATCTTTACCAAATTTTGGCAAATTTCTTTGTTCCTTTCACCTCTCGGAGACACATCTGATATAAGGGTAACTTTGTGTGAGCCGACTTGTTTTAATTGGAAGCTTCTTCTTCTCCGGGGAGGAGGACATGTAGCTTTGACTTTAACTAACCGGCTATTAAATCACCACTGTCGAGTGTCGGTATCAACCAATTGAAGTGTGTCTACTACCATTTAATCACAGTGTCAAGTAGAGCCGCGTCACAAGGTCTGGACTTTATGTCAAGGTCTGAACTTTATGTCAAGGTCTGGACTTTATGTCAAGGTCTGAACTTTATGTTGAGGTTTGCAGGGTCGGGACGTTGTTTTTTGCTTTGTTATGAGATCATTTAGTTGCTGGCTTTGTTAAAACGCCTTTGTTAAAGAGTAGCGTACCCTTTGTTTCTTTTTCTTTAGTTGCAGTGTTGGACGCATGGCTATAATTATAATAAGTGCCCTTCCTTTTTATAGTCGTGACAGTCTTTTATTCTGCACTTATATTGTGGTGAAAAAATTAACTTCAGTAGTTCAACATTTCACAGCAAAGAGGCTTTGTTTTTTTCCTTCTTTTGTATAGCTTTGATATGGAGGGGTTAACTGCAGGGTTTAATCTACAAACACTAAGACTAACACAATATAGTTTTCGAATGATGGCCTCGGCTTGACAATCTTCACGTGGGATACCTGTCTATTTTGTTGCCACAGTTAAGTCCTTTAGGTGGAATATGTCGTTCCCAAGGTTCTTTCTGGGATCGGGGGCGACCTGTTAAAATACCTATTCATTACCATGGTTTCTCAAAGCCCAACTAGTGGGTTTACTAAAGAGCTAAAGGTACACAGTGTTTCAGACCAATGACATTTAAAACAGTTTACTATATCGGGAATCAATTTGGCAGGGCTTCTTCTATTGGCACTGTGAAATGTAATGCGAACTAAGTTTTAAAAATACACTTCTTATCAGCCGGCTGATACCTTAAAAATTCTGATATATAAATTATCATGATTTAATCCATGTCAGATGTTGGAGTCCCTGTCGTCGAAAAACTAGAAATAATTGACATCTTGCTATCTGCACCTAATAATTTCCTCCCACTTCCATTTGGTTCCTCGTCAGAGAACTACCCCGTCTCACACCTCCCACTTCCATTTGGTTCCTACCCCGTCTCTCTATTCACTTAAATCATCCCAGTTACCATTTGTCAAGTAATTTGCCATCACTTCAAATTTCAAGATGGAATGATAATTTCATTGACTATATATATAGTATAAAGATTCTAGATTGATATCCACAGTACACTTATGGACTTGCGTCTGAGTTCAGAAACCTCGTGCATCATGATCATCAACGTTGTATTATAAAATTATAATGTTAAATCTAGATTTTCGTGATTTGGTATTATTGAAGTTAGCTCGAGAAATCACGCATGCCATTCTAGGAAATACATTGTATGTAATGTAAGACATTGTAACATTATTCAAGCACAGTTTTCATCGCGGCTATAGGACACAAGGGAGGTACCATCGAGCTAAGCTTTACGTAAACCTGACTGTTGAGAACATCAAAAAACGAATTTTTCCATGTTAACGTGATTCATGTTATTCGCCCTTGATCTTGTCCACCGTTTTAAGAAAGTACCGCCCTCGTGTCTTCCGCCCTCGTGTCCGGTTCCCCAGGGAAACGGTTGTGTTTCGTCCAATCCTACAAAGCAATTTGTAAGAAGACACTCTTATTCTGCTTGACAATCGTTGTTTGCTTTTAAATTTTAAGCACCTGCAAGATCTGAACATATCCGTCTATGCATATTATTATTACATGCTACACCACGAGCGTGTCTCCAAGATATTATCTTCTAGAAAATTCATTTAAATATGTTTGATTTCCGAGTAGTCCGTTGTGAAGGAAACATGGGTTTGAAACACGATGTTCAACATGTTTGTGCTAAATTGTTGCGGAATTGTGGAACCCGTCTCAGTGCCAACATTGCCAGAAACCTGTATATCAAAGTAAGTCAACATTTCAAGATCCCTGTTTATTCAGGATCGTGTTTGTGGTCCTAACTGCATTCACTAAGTCACAAGATGCTTTAATCGATATTTTTTAGTAAATGCAAGTTATTGTGGATGCTATAACAACTTCTTAAATAAGTATAGGAAAATAAATATCATGTTACGTATTGACCAAAATGGTATTGCTCAATACAATTCTTTTAATCGAATATTCAACCAACATTTCATAATCTAAAATGTGGCTTTCTATCGTGACAAAAATGTGGTTTTCTATTCGGAGGAGCATGTATGTCATTTTCATCCAATCTCCTTATTGTCCTGGTTCAAGCGTGAGTATTAGTGACTATTCTAGTGACTATTTTAGTGACTATTTTAGTGACTATTTTAGTGACTATTTTAGTGACTATTTTAGTGACTATTTTAGTCTCCTTTTAAATTCTAATATCGGTCTACAGCATGCCGAGGTCTGAATCAGAAAACGTGACTACTAGATCCCCTGATCTTGCTCCCTGCTTCAGTAGTTGTACCATTCTATAGGTGGCCATGTCACAATGGTCTGACTCTGACATTATTAAATTCTTTAAGACAAATCATTTTGGGTGTACCGTTTGATGACGTACAGATTTGAACGAAGAAAACCAGCCCTGCCATTGCTATCGTAGATGTTCTGCGTCATTTCATAAAACTATTCGTTGCATCATTAAAATTAAAAGCAGTCATGTTGCCAGACGACGGGAACCAAGTAGTACTTAGTTACGACTCCGTATTTACTAAAGTAAGTAGTTGAACGTATTTACTATTTTGGTTGGAAAAGAAGGCATGTTCTGGTGACTTAAAATATTTTGTGCAATACTCGATGGAATGCGTAGTATTCCATTGCTGACATCATTATTGCCAGATCATTAATAATCGGCTTTATCTAGAATCAGCTTTAATTATGACACGATTGAGCGATCTGGGACATTAACCTCATTAGTTTAATCTAGGATGAAAATATTACCAACCATAATATAACGATCATCGATCTAATATTTACTGCCATATCATTGCCACACCCCGTACTAAACCGTGACGCTAACAATCTCATCACAATATAACTTTGTAGATATATCTACAAAGTATATATACCAATATTCATAAAAAAGTAGAGCATGACCTTTTTTCAGACTGCATTTAACTTGTTTTTAATCAATATTAGCAATATATAAGCGTCCCCTTACTGTGTGATGTCATGGGTAACCACGTCATGATGTCACATATAACATCTGCAAAACATTAAGTATTAAGTAACCGCTAAAATAGGCAATCGAACTAATAATGGACCATATAATGAATATGAACCAGGAAAAGTTTGAAAAAACAATGAACTATTGCCTATAATAAGAAATGCACCTGGCTTACCTGGCAGATAGCTTTATTGTTAAGCCTAACCTTGTATTTATTATTCAATTACAGTTCAATGCAATCCAGCACGTCGTATTGCGCCAATGCTCACAACTATGTAATATTTATGACATTTGAGGAGTCTTAATCGATGCTTTGCTTTCGTTGACGTAATGAAAATCTTATTATTTCCCACTGGTCATGAGTTTTATTAATCCACAAACTAATCGTAATTACTGACTATCCCCGCGTGGATGGCATAAAGTTGTAGTACAATATGAGGATTTAGTCCAATAATAAAATAATTGGATAACCACAAACCAGCTGCCATCTAAAAGTCCACTTTGTATATGTGTCGCAATTGTAATCGTTCTGATCATCTCCTCGATATGTACTCAAATTACCATCAGCTGGGCGCAAAACCAGATAAACTTTATAATTTTACGAGATACCGAGACAATTTCGTAATTCTATGATTAATCCTCAGTTGGCTATGAAGGCGATTCAGCGATTGCTTTACGCATATAAATACAATTTTTGCAAGGGGTTGTGCCTATATTTATGTATGCTTTAAAATCATCATCACGCGGTCGGTCCTTAAGTTGCTTAATAAAGTTTTTATTTTACTATATCATCTGCCTTCTCATGAACTATAACATTTAAGATTTGTTGCTTTTTTACGATTTCTTAATGCGTGGTCTCCTCCGATTCAGCTACAGAATCATCTAGAATGTTGCTGCCTATGTCCAACCAAAAGACTGCCCACCCATCATTGCTAGAAGTTGACCACAAATACTACCGTGACTTAAGTAGGCACTTGTTCTCTCTTGTGTCCACGCCCATGTTGCTTTCTTCCTTATCAAGCCAAGTTCAGTTTCAGAAGGTTAGCGTCACCCTGCTGTTATTACTTTATTAATCGAATCAGTTGATTGTTGTGGGGTTAAGAATTAGCAGATATGTGATCACAAGGAAAATAACGAGTCATTAGCCATATTAATCGTCAAAATTATCAAAATGTGCTTTTGAAGTGATGCGTGTAAGGCTACGCGGTGGATGATTTTCTTTTTATAATCTTCAAATAAGAATTATTCAAATTAGCAAGCGCTTAAAGTGACACCATAATATTAGTTATACTCGAGCCGACTGATGTTAATAGAATTACTATGATCATAGTAATTCTATTAATAAAGTCGGTAGCTTTTATTTACTTATAGTAACAAATACGTTACTTTTTTATTTACTTATGTTAACAAATACCTCACTTACATTAATAGTCGGCTGCTTTTATTAACTTATAGTAACAAAAACTCTACTTCAGGCAGGAGACCAGCCTTTAAACACGAGACCGCTAGTTCGGCAAGGAGGAGTAAAAAGGAAACTGATCCGAGCTGTCAGCAATGCTGATCCCTCTAAGAATCTCGATATTCTGGTGGAAACTAAACCTACCGAACATGCATTTAACAGGTAAACATTACTATACATTTCCTTTATATAGGTATAGCCAAGTGAAATGATGTGAACTGAGGTTACAGGCAGAGGGAGTGAGCTTTTTGTATAGCTCTACTTAAGCTCTTATTGTCACCGCAGTAAAGATCATCAAGTTGGGAATTTGTGAGCCAATCATTTTTTAATTGTTAAAAGCTTGTATTTTTACTGAACAATCTTTTGTACGCAGTTCAGAGGAAAAGAGAGCCTCGATCCGTAAGACGAAAGTGGATAACATAAAACGAGCAGCAGTGTGTTCACTATACTTACAACAACGGCAAAAGGGATATAATCAGAACACGTCCCCTGCGGTAAGAACATTACACGTGGTGCCCAAATAAGGAGATATCTCCCATATCGATCTTTTCAAATATCTCATGCTTCGGCATAAACGCATTACAGTCAATACAAACACTCGTACTTTACAATTAAATAAACGTTTTGTATCATTGAAACTAAACAAATTGTTCCACCACCAGGTATCCCCCACAACAAGAGTGCCCCCACCTCTCACCCCCCTTTTCTCCCCCACAATCCCCATCATCACCCGCCCCCGGACGGATAAGAAGACTAACTTCGCTTCAACTGAGATAAGAGAGGACGATGAGGATCTTCAGTCTGTATTGGTGAGTTTTAAAAAGTTTCAGTTGATTTCTCAGAGAGGGTTATGATCTCTTGATGATTATTGTCAATGCATTGTTCTTTAATGGATAGGAGACCTGATTATCACAGAATACTAAACAATTATCCCTAACCAGAGCACTAAACAATTATCCCTAACCAGAATACTAAAACCTATTATCTCTCCCAGAGCCGGAGTAGGAGTTTCGCCCCGAAGAAACCAATAAAACAGAGAGAAGCCTCCAGAACAAACAGCTGTCTTGCTAGATATATCTGTCTGCCAGAAATGAGTGTCAGAGATGAGATCAAGTGGGCTAGGAGGAGTATCAAGTTATATCGAGAGTTCAGTCAATTGTCAGTGGTAAGTAAACCATACAGTTAGTTAACAATTTTTTAGATACAAGTTTAAAATACAGTTAATAACTCCGGGTAGAGAGTCGTTAATAGTGTTTTTTTTTTTGGCAGAATTTTTGAGTATTTGATTGCGAATTTTGTTTGTTTGTATTACTTATTATGATATTTGTGCCTCTTTCAATTGAGTGTGGGTGAGATTGGTGTAATAAAGAACTGATGTTAATTTCCAAATTCTCAGGACAACAGGACTGACTCGTTATTGAATCTGGATAATCTGTTCTCGGACGATTTCGATAGAGATGACGACATTTTCAAAACAGTAGTGGAAGCTGAAGATGAGGACATGAGCGATGTTGATGATAGTGACGATGAAATGAGTGGAAATGGGTTCGACTACCTTTGTAAGTAGATTTAAGAGATAAATACTGGATTTTTACTACCTTGTTGTAATTGTTAAGAAACTGTATCTTGTACTTTCTTTGCAGTTTACACTACATATTGATCTTTGTGGTAAATTTCTGAAGAAAAAAGAAATTCTTAAGAAAGAACAGCAATTGTTATATCATATTGTTTATGACAGACCACACCCCGGATATTCAGTAGTTCTCAATATTCTAAAATATAATACCTGTCTTACATGACTGACCTTGATATCAACGCCACCCTGAACTAACTGAACAATGAAAGTCTACTACCCGGTCGGGACTAAGTCTAATCTACACCAGATATAACCCTCTCCATACATCAGGGTTCGCAGTTCCTTTGTAGAGTTTCTCCCTGCCTTCTTCAGTAACATGTAGATTGTAGTCCTTGCTGCGCTCTACCATGGAAAGGTTCCAACATCACTAAATCACTGGCTATTATCCCAGAATGTATGATGCAGTGTCCTGCCATCTTTAATCTCCTACCTGTCTATTCTCAGTAAAACTATCTAAAAATAGGGCACTGGTGGCTGGGTGCGACAAAGTTGAACAAGTCCACACTCTGTCAGCACCCTACACACATAATAATTCCTGTTCTATTCTACCAAAAACATTCACCCGGCCTCTCTCCTTCAGTCTCTCGTTCTCACCCTCTACACGCTTTGTAGCGGCATTTTCTGGGCTGCCGGGGAAAGTGGTAGAATGTTTTATCATCAGATGTTATGCCCTTCGTTTTTAATATTTTTACAAAGTATGTACTCAAATATTTTTAGGATAATTTTGCGTAAGTAAGGATTCAACGTCTATGTAACGACGTTAATCAAGGTTAATTCATGGGATCGCCACTGTTGATGGTGCAATTCAGAATCGTTCAAGCGATTGATAAACAGCCGACATTTGAGGTTTTTCTGCTTAATTTGCTGATATCAAATTTCGACCCCTTTGTTCAAGGTCACTTCAACGGAACGTGGTAACCTCATTTTTACTGCAGACTATAAGTATAACGTGTTTCTATGTGGTCTCACTAATTTGCATGACACTGACTGTATAATCCCCCAGCAGAGCAAAACTGTGTTTCATTTGTTAATGTTCTAAGAAATCTTACATAGTAGGATTATTATTTTGTTGCTAGGTACCCGCTCAAATTAGATGAGCACTGCTTATAAAATAGTATCGACTGTTGTCATGGTAACTGTTCGATTAATGATTTTACAGTACTCATGTCAGACGGATTTAATGGCAATTAATTTACCGATCGTGTCTTTTAATTTCACATATTTGTCACATTAACTGCACTGTTTGCTATAAGTGGTTGCAACTGAAGGTTTGATCATCATTGCAAAATACAAACCAGAAGTACAACTACCGGTTTACTGTAAACCAGACCGGATGATGTAATGCAAATAAAATTGTGCACTTTCTCCTCTCGGCTATTACTTTCACTATGTCCTGTGCTGGCCTTCATGCTATGAGTTTAATGTAAATTAGACGGTAAATACCGGAGATTCTTTGAATTTCTGATCGTGTGCTGTATATCTTGTTTCTGTGTACTATGATAATGATTTGTCGGTTCATTCGCATCGTTAGATAGACACGTAAAGCAATTACTGTTACATTCAGAAATCAGTAGAGTATAAATCATCGACTCGAACATTTGAGTCTGTTCGATTATGCGATGTCCAGACCTCAAATGTAAACAAACAATGATACAGCGGTTAATCATAATATTTATGTATTTAAGATGAAAGATTCCAGATCACATTACATTTTAATTACTGCTTTTCTATTTTATAATCGTATAATGCAATTATGTGGCCTAACGTTAATTTTCTAGCGATATTCCGTAACACTTTCTCATTTTCTTAAACGAAATTTTAGTTTTAGTACTTCATTTCCAGGAAAATCGTTCCATCTAGCCTCTGATATACCGCTTAACTTTCACAGTTTAACTTTAAGAGAGTCATAAATATCCACATGCACAGTGCTCTGCATATAAAATATTTGCCTGAATTTCTGAATTATTGAATAACTTGCGCATTCTTGGTAACATTCTTTGATGTTTCTTGACGCGACTGTCAGCTCATAGTAACTTATCTATCGTTCATTTCATTATACTCCGCGTGTTTTATAGCTCAAGTCCTTTGTTAATTTGCTTACCATATCACTACTAACGACGTTTTAAGAAAATACATGTAAACAACGAGTCATTTCTGATCCTCAACATGCCTTGGAAGGAAACACTCTCCGCCATCTCATTCGTTCTTTACACCCTTGTGCGGGACCTGGTGACCACCATCACCAACTTGATCTATCCAGCCAAGCAAACAGAGATAGTTTACTACGAGCCCACCCACGCTATCAGATTTGACGATCGAGTTGTCTTCACATTCGACAGAAAAGAAGTGCTTATCACCATTCTCCGCAAGCAATGGGGAGAGTTATTGGCTCGCGTGACGTCATGGCGATGGGCCAGTGGTCCGGGGTTGGTGGTTGCGAAGGATGTGTCGGTGTTTGGTGTGGTGAAGTTTGCAAACAAGTGGAACCAAAGAAAGAATGATGCTCTCAGTTTTGGCAAGATCTGGTTCACTAACGGTACACATGTTTTATATTGGATAATTTAGTTTTTGTACGTGCTTTTTGGTTGAAGTCTTACTTCTTATTAGAATATTCAAGTCTCCAGATAATTATGCACATATTAGCAAGGATCCACCAGTTTGGGTTCCTAGCCAACCGAGAAAATAACATTACTGGAATGTTAATAGTGGCTGGGAAATGGGAAGTATGTTGAAAGGAATTGTGTAATGTGCATACAGTCACAATGAAAAATCAATTATCATACCCTGCGCTAATTCCTCGAAAACAGATTTGCGATTGTAAGCTCCTACTCGAATTTCAGCTCACATTGTATTATAACCATGGCATTGAGTTGAGTAAATTTCAACTTCATGTTTCGTATTTGCTGTAGATCTTCAAAAGTATTCTCCGAGCTCCCTAGACCCTGTTATAAATGTTCTTGCAAGAAAAAGAAGATTCTTTGGCGCAAGTCTCATGCAGTCATTCCACGTTTTCTCCAGTACACTCTTGAGCTTATAGAGCGGGTAGAGGGATTAGAGAACAATGTATTAAGTGGGTAAAACTATGAAACTAAAGTTACCATTAATACAATGAAACTATAAAAGTATAAAGCTACAGACCCTAGTAAAACTAAAATTATAAAACCGCAGTAATTCACTTACTAACAACATAATTACGACCTAACAATACTTTACTTAACTGACAACGAGAATCTGACTTATGATATATCCAAGAAATCTACGATTCCATTCCTGCTAATTACAATTAATAAATTTTGATTAAAATGAATAATTAAAAACATGATTCTAATAAGCGTCGTTTCTAGGTAGTCTCAGTTCTCTGTACCGAACAACGTGTCCCTACAAGAAGTTTGGGGAGACTAAACTAAAGTTCCCGTTTGGAGTTTGCTGTAATGATGCTGGAGATGTTTTCGTAAGCGACTGGGAGGCTGGACTTATTTATCAGGTAAATTTTCACGTGATGCCCAAATAAGGCAATGTTACCATACTACTGTCATCAGTAGTGTGGTGTTCATCTTTTAGATATCTAATTTTCAAACTGTGGCACTTCTTGAATTCTGCTGATAAACATTTTTTTCAAAGCTAATTCATAATTTATAAAATCATCTTAGTCCTTAGAATGACACTATATTAACAGTTCTTGAACTGATTTAAATGTCCTGCGCAGCAGATTTAAGTTTCTTCAAATTATTTATCATTCTCATTATGTTGCTGTGCAAATTTAATTAAAGTCTAATTCTACTCTAAATATCCGCAATCTAACAGTTCTGTTCCCATAGCTTGAGAACGTGGAAGATGAGTTGAAGTGTACGAGAATGTTCCCCAAGGCGTTTGGAGTATGTGCAGCTGGTAACGATGTGTTTGTCACCTCAGAAGAGGACCAGCATCTCTACATGCTACGATCAGGTAAATAGATAACTGACACATTTTAATATTATTACACGTTTTTTAGTGGATAAAGTTAGATTTTCTGTTGCCTCGTCAGCTTGTGATGATATTCTGGCTAGGATTCGTCAACTGTTGAGTTGTAAATCTTAGTTGTGATCCTGATGTAGGTATAAAGTACAGATCATCCGTAATCTATATTCAATCTGTATCCATCTTCAAATATTCAATCCCTAACTCTAATCTCCATATTATAAACCGTGCATTACACAACAAAATTAACATACCATTTTAAGGTTGTATTATAATTAACATACCATTTAAGGTTTTATTAAAATTAACATAACATTTTCACAGATTCACCAGACCTAAAGACAGATCTGGGTCACTTCCCCTCCCCTGATGGGATATGCTACATGAACGGTTACATTTACGTAGTAGAAGAGCAGAACAACAGAGTTATAGGACTCACTAGCTTCGGGGATACATACTGTATGTTTGGGGACGATAATGGTCCTTTCACCTTGAATAAACCTGGAGGTAAGTTTCATTTTCTTCTTTTTTTCCTTTCTTTTTCTTTTTTTCCCCCTTTTTTCCCCCTTTTTTAAGAGATCCAACCTGCCAAACGTAATGGGTTTCCTTTTAACTGCTGATTTTTAACTTGAACGATTTGAGGAACAGGCTTCTATTTTGTGGGAAAATTCTTGTAGTTGCATTTTTAGACTTCATCAATAAACTGTTTTAAATTCTTTCGTAAATTCCACAGAACATAACAAACGCCCAATACCTAACACCGTAAATAATACCTAAATAACCCGTGTCCCACCCAGGTATAGCAGTGTACCCCGAGAAGGAACTACTGATAGTCTGTGACCGGGGCAACAAGAGAATCAGCATATGGGACAAGCTAGGAAACCCAGTAGACACCATTGCACTACCCCAGCATCCTGATTGTTGCAGTTACGCAGGCTACGGTATACTGGTAGTAGGAACCAGTCAGGGAGAGGTCCTCTTTATTGACCTGGACTGCAAACAACACGTGTTTACTTGGACTAACAAGCAGCTTAAGAACCCTGGATTTATTACTGGTAGGTTGTTTATGTAGAGAAAAGAAAATTTTTCCCATGGAAGATTAGAAAATTATCTGATGAATTCTGACAAGATAATTGGCTTAATGTTACCACGAAGGATTCCTGAATCCTGGGTATATTATGATAAATTCTTCTTTTTTATTCGATTCCAGAAAGTCTCGAACCTTCGTTGGAATCCCACCAATAATCTATTCATCATGATGATCACAATTCTGACCATTTTATTTCACAGGAGTAGCAGTTGACAACAGACAAAACGTCTACATCTGCGACCCAAAGAACCATCGTGTGATAAAAGTGTACAGGTGAAAAGGACTTGCCTCTGTATAGATACACTACTCATTCTAGGAGATTCAGATATTGACGAAAGAAAGATTCCGAGGAGAAGCATTTTCACGACAGTTAGGATTTTTAACATTGATTGCAGATAGACGAGAGAATGAACGATTTTTTGATTTTTTAAAGCTTGGTTTTTAAGATGGTTGCTATGGTAATTGTATACCGAGCTTGTATTTAGGTTAGAGAAGACTTTATTGTCTGCTGAATAAATAAATTATTTATTTAAGATTAATCTTACGTTTAGATAGTATTGATAATCTGTAAAATATCAATTGTGAGATACATCATTTCCAGCCTTCGTTGAAGCAGCTGAATGTAAGTTGATGACAGTATGGCATGTGTATAATTATGTGATAGGCACATGCCAAGAATAAAATAACTTTTTCTAGATGTTTCAAAAATTCAGATGTTTTACAGGAAAACATGAAAGACAATTTAAATATAATTGATCGACTTGAGTGAGCACATAGTGATCTTTAATTTTATAACTGATAGAACCGTTCTATCATTATCATTTTAAATCATTAAGTTCGACTTTTTATAATAGATGTTGTAACAAACTTTTACACATTAGGATTCAAAAAATGTATGTAGCATGATAGTTTTTGTTCCAAAAAAATTTAGATGAAAAATTCGATAACCGTCAATGTAATAAGACATTATTATTGTTAAGTTCAAGTTCATATAGGTTTAGATTTTGTATTAAACTGATTTCAATTTATCAACAAAGTGTTGATTTTCTACTTATTATTTATTACACGAGCTATTACGTCAGTTTTAATTAATTAAGACTAATTAATTAATTAAGGCTGTTGATATAGCGTCGTTGTATGATGCTTTTGTTGACATAATTTATAATATATTCACTTGTAAAATGTGTTTTTCAATTTGTCATTGAGTCTAGCAAAATAGAGTATTTTATTGATTTTACGAATTTGAAATTTAGATAAAACTGAACACCTAAAAAATTAATTCCAGGAAAAATTTAATGTTTCGAACCTGTTAACAGAGAAAAATATAATAAAAAATAATTTTTTCAGTTCAAAAACTCTGAAGCAGGAATAAACTCAGATCCTCCTGAGAAAGTTATTTGTGAATACACAACATGCCATATTCACTTACTTATGAAGTTTCTATGTTAGGTACTACCTTCCTCTAGCAGAATTCTACATACATCTTATCAAACAATGATAGCTTTATGTTTATCTCACACGGTAGTTATTATTGGTTTTGTTTTGATTCCATTCGATGTTTGTTCTTCATGTGCGAACTGCAAGCTCAATATCCACTACTTCCGATTTGTCATTAGTGACCTCTGTTTTCTTCTGTTCTTCATCTTGTTGTAAAGGAGTGTAGTTCTTTTGGCTACATTTCCTGATGGCCTCTGCGAAGGTTCTGTGAAACTCAGCAATGCCTTTCACACGGTTTTCAGAGGGCAATTGTCTGCTGTACCCTATCATTTCTTCTCGGATGTCTTCTTTGTAAACGCCGATATTGCTTTCATTTCTTCCGATTATTTCCCTTATGATGTCTTTAGCATTTCTTGAGCACGAAACGTCAACAGCTCCATCCACGATGCCCTTCCTGATGAGATATTCAGCAATTTTCTCGTCTGAAAGGGACTGAACATGTTGGGGATCAGCCCAGTATACCATTGCCAAGAGGCAAGTAAGATGAATAGCCTCAATTACGATTCCCACGAGAGCCAAGTGAAATGGAGTTATCCCTAAATGAACGTTGTTGAAACTGCTGTCACCTTTCATGTAGAATGTAAGGGTGAAAATCACTGTACCCAATGCCTGCAGAATAGATGGCCCGACCTTCGTTTTGAATATTGTGCATTCAACATTTGGGAGGTGATTTGTGAAATCTGACATAAAGTGGCGATGTTGAACTACAAAGTTCATCACATACATCCACCACAGATTACGGATAAACCGAAGGACGTAACGAATGCGGGACCCTAAAGTCTCAATTTTGCTCAGCGTATTCTTGATACTATGTTTGAAGACTAACGGCAACTCCGAAATAATTAGTATGCTTATGCCAACATAGTATGTCAGTAAGTAAAGAAAAAGCAGGCCTGTCACCTTGGTTTCAAAGTAGCAGTTGGATTGGAAATCTGAATGAACATCTTTCAGAGCTGTGGTCAGGGTGCACCATCCCATCCCCTTATCCTCTGCAAAGTTATGGTTCACCAACATGATGAGGAATACAACTGATAAGCCTTTACATGCTATAGCCGTTGCATGGACCAAGACTAGTAGATCAATGAAACTAATAAATCAATGAAACTAATAAATCAATGTTTTAGCTCATTTTACAAAGTCAAATATTTAAAACAATTAAAATTGTATAGTGCTCAATTTGTAAATGACTAGTTGATCTTTGCTATTGGAAGTTTGTCAAGGACTGGCAGCTAGCGGGGCAAGGAATGCACGGGCTTAGGGGCTTTTGTGCACACCAGAACACTAGCTCGGTAGATTTTTGGAAACTAGAAGGACTGAAAACTAAAATTGTTTTTGATGGAGGCTGAGATACTTTTGTGGATACAAAGCTTTCCATCCTGTTCCAATCATGCAGAAACTGAAGAGTCGGGGGTTCATATCGAGCCTAAAGAAATCAAATTTGACACAAGCCCTGGCAAGTGAAAAAGTGGTAAGGAGCAGGGACACCAGTTTCCAGTAATGCCAGAACCCCGATACAGTGACAGTGGGTGACAGGTACTCAGGTGCTATGTTTATGATTTGGAGAATGAACTGAGGTAAGTTCTCACACATCTTCTCTAGGATGACTCCCTCGTGAAGTTGCCTCATCTTATGCCTCAGATTGTTGCACTTTTCCGTTCTGCATTGGATGTTGTTGTATCTGACACATTTCTTGCGGTCGTATTTTCCTTCTGGGTGCTTCAAAAGAAACTTTTTCAGTATGAAGTATTGTGTCGAGGAGAAAGTCAAGGCTGCTAAGATGCTTTTCCACGTAATTTGTCCTTTGAACTTTTTCTCTGTTTCATCTGACTGAGTCAATGATCGCGTATGGAAAGGTATCCAAACTCCAACCAAGATCATAACTCCAAGTGACAATGATCCTAACACATACTTTTCATTCCTGAACATGTCTGCAGCAGTGATAATATCTGTCACAGTATCAGCATAGTTCAGTGCACAGGTGAACAGCAGTGTTACTTTCAGGAAATTTGGAAGCATTTGGCAGACATGATCAGGCTTTTCTTTGACGAGCGGAGTTTTGTTCTGCGTTTTTCCTTCCATCCAGTAGGTTCCAACTTGTTCCTGTAAAATTTGGAATTGTAAAGTCTAAGGTTGATTTTGAGCAACATCTTTTGCTAGGAAGAGTTTTAAATAGCATTGAGTACGCGGGCCAAGCTTTCCCGTAAATTCAACACATAACTTTTTTAATTAAATTTAGACACCACGATGTATCTGATCCTGATGTCAAATAAAAAACTTTTAAATGAATCAATCAATAAAAACAGATCGATGGCATATGTTGTTGCATAATTTCATATTAAGCTGAGGGCTATCAAATTATGCACATAGGAAAAAGAGAATAAACAAACTGCTGCTCGAAATCCGTAAATAGGAAGTAGTTTTCGGTTCTCCTATCTCCTATTATGTAGTATGACGCACTGTCATTGGATACTAATAACATTTATAGGTTGCGTTAAAAATGTACTGCATATTGCCATATTGGGGGTGGGGTGTGCACGATTATGTAATTCTGAAATTATATTTCGAGAACTGTTTAGAGCCTGATGAACTATCCTGATGACCCAAAACATACAACATACAATACAATCTTCAAACAGATTTTATTTTCAAATATGAAATATATTTCAGATATTCATTTTAAAAAAAGGAGATTTGTAATTTTGGGAACCGGTCTGAATTGCTTAGCTTGCTACTGCTAGTCTATTGCTAGCTTCTCTTACGTATATAATTTAATATATGAGCTTTCTGTTCATGATTCAGGAAGCTTGAAAAGAGCACCGAGGCCGCGCACAGGGAAGTTGGTGTGCCAGATAACGCGACGGTCTGAAGAGATCATCAGCCACATTTCAATGCAAAAAAACTAGATGATGAAATTGTAAATTAAATTGCCTAAACTGACAACAATAAAATGTTACCTCTTCCAGCAAGCTCTCCAAATTCCTAAATCTCTTATCTGCATCGATAAACTTCTCCTCCAGCTTCATCATTCGAGTAGCAAGCTCACTAAATTCATTATTGTTATTACTCCACAACTCTGCAGAGTTCTTTTCAAAGTCGGTAACCAATTTTGCTTGTACTTGTCTTATCGCCAGCATATCTTGTTTTCTTTCATTACTTAAAGTTGAGCTGATTTCTTCCAATCTTTGATCTTGTTTAGAGTTGAGGGACAAAACTTTTGACTGGACGGCGTTGAATTTTTTTATCAGTTCAGACAGTTCCCTTTTCAGTTCTTCGGTTTTCTGTGGTAATTCTGCTCCCTCGCCGTTTTCTTTTATTATAGGGGGAACTGAATTTTCCGTCGATTCTGTAACCTAAAAATAAAATGTTCAAAATACGGACCAGAAAAGGATCAGAAAAGGAATGTTTTTATACGTGACTGGACACTTATACACACTATGCATTAGCCTTTTATTTTCATCAAAATAGTGGTGTGAGTAGATCAAATTCAATGAATGGTACCTTATCCTGCTCTCTATTGTACATTCTAAACTTTTTCAGACATGAACGCTAAACGGATTGTGTATGTATGAAAAGGAATGAAGAATGGAAAACGATGACGAGACTTGTATATTCAATTTAATATAATTGTTTTCCTTTCGAGCAAAAATCAACTCGAAACAAATTGACTGGATGAGCCGATCAAGATCATCACTCAAATTTATGTTCTTGCAATTCAAACAATGATATAGTAATGTATATCTATGCAAGATTAAATATGTAAGATTGTTATTATGCATCTACAGTACATGCTTATAATGCAATCGTTTATGTGACTCTTAAGAAGATACTTCTTCTGCTTTCACACTAAACCAATTATACCAAAGAATTACGTTCTTTAAAAAATAAAATGTCTCGATATTTTGTGATGTGAAACTGAACTTACAGTGTTCGCAGCTGTCTTGCATGCCTGCACGTCCACTTCCAGACTTGTTTCCTCGACATTTTCTTTCATACTGTTCTGCAGTTCCTCCCCCACTGTAACTTTTTCTGATTCTTGTGGCTCCGCGTTCGTCTTGGGTGGTAAAACTTTAATCGAAAATTGATATCTATGTTCCGTATAAATGTTGTGTCTATACAAATGAACTTATTTTCGTAAGTTTAGTTTAAGAGTTTAACTTTAATACAATTTAACGTGGAGAATTCACAAATTACGTGATCTGATTTCGTTCCCGTGCTACTTTTGCAATCAACAAAAGGAATTACACGATGAGCGTTCCCGTAAACCACCTTAGCACCTTAGTAATAGTATACAAATAATTACAAGTTACAACTCAGCTGTGCTGTCAAGAACGTTGCATTGCAGTGATATACTTATAACAGTATTACAGCAGCTGTAGTCAACAAGTGTTGTGTGTTCTGAACTGTATGAGTATACCGGGCTATAGCATGATCAGTGTTTAGCACGCCTGCCTAAATCCTAAAGATTCGTTATTGACAACAATTCCTACCTGCACATTAGGATCCATAACCGCGAAACAAGACCCTTCCAAAATCCAAACTTTAAAGCTTAATTAAGTAGTGGTAACGGAATTCAATACAAATATTCACATAAACTATACGTAATGATGCACAAATGTCATTATGCGCATAGAATATGAATGAGTGAGTGTATTAAGTCATCGGGATGACTTAACATTCGGCATAATGTACACAGTTATCATGTCAGACTTGTAATGTTATAATCGGTTATACTTTTGCTTTTGTTTTGTTTTGCTTTCCACCGAATGACCTCACAATGAAACAATGTAAAATACTGCCAGTGTAATTATGCAACGTCACAAGATCGTGAGAAGAAAGTATTCTCAGGTTTAAACCTCTGAAATGTAATTGTCGGAGCATCGAACAGTCTGATTTAATATTATATTCTAATAATGATATATTTTAGATGGTCCGTTCGAGTAATGTCAGCGGTGGAGACGGTGGTGACGCCAACTCCAACATATTTAACCCGAAGAAGAAATCATTTGTATCAACAACCATTGCATTAATGATCAGCTTCGCCACATTTAACATCCGTGGGCTCGGTGTTCAGCAAGATGATAGCCTACATAGTAAACGTGAGTTACTAGGATTAGACTGTGAAAAGTACAATGTCGACATCTGCGCTCTGCAGGAAACTAAAGTCACCGAATCAGACAGCCTTGTTTTGCGCAACGGTTTTAACTTGTTTCTGTTCGAGCAGTTGGATAGTCGCCATGGAGGCTTGGGTTTTATAATCAGTCCTCGCATGATGAACTATGTGGTTTGCTGGAAGTACATCAGTGACCGGGTATGCTATGTCGATATTTGCATCCCCTCACGTAGCGGTACACCCCTACGTTGCAGGGTGATCAATGCCTACTGTCCACATCAGGGGCTAGTCCGTAAAAATCCAGTTGTTTTGGATAACTTTTATGGGCAGCTAAGAGAGGCCAAGAATGTTCCCTCTAATGTGGAGTTGCAATTTCTGGGTGACTTTAATTCAAAACTGGGTAAATTATCCCCTTCTGATATTGAACAGGGTTTTGGTAGATATATGGGGAAATACGGAATGGGAGTAAGGAACGAAAATGGTTCTAGATTACTGGATTTTATCTCAGAAAATAATCTGTTTGCTGTGAACACTAGTTTTATACAACCTAGCAGACGTGTTACATCATTTACTGGTTGGCGGAAGGATTGGTCGGCTGGTCGGTACAGTAAGAAGACACTGCCTGTATACTCTCAAATAGATTACATACTATGCCGAAATAGATCTAAGTGTCTTTTGACTCAATCAAGAACTTATGCTGGTACTAAAACATTTTCAGATCATAGACTTGTCATTGCTCGCATCAATTTCAGCAACATTCATCTTTGTTTCAAACCTAAACAACGTCGTGTTCCTTCTTATAATATATCAGAACTTGTAAGCAACAAAGATATGCAACATAAATATCACTTGGCCCTTGAAGGCAAGTTCTCAAATTTTGTGACCAGCAACGATCCAAATGCCGACCTTCAAAATCTTATGTCTCATATTCGTGATGCTGCCAATGTTTCCATCGGCCCAAAACCTAAAGCTCGCTTGAAACATCACAGCAGTGATGACACTCTCAAAGAGCTTGTTGAAAAGCGTCACGATCTCCGACAGCTACTTAACAATAATCAATCTCTTGATCGAACTACATTGAGGTCATCCATCAACCACCTCACTAATAGTATCCAGAAAAGATTAGTTGAAGTGAGGTCTGCTCAAGCTGATCAGACCTATAGTGATATTACTAACACAAACGATTCAAGGAAAATGTTTGAAGCAGTAAGACATCTTCAGAAAAGTAAACCACCTAATAACTCGATTGGTGTTCATGATGAAAATGGCTGTTTGATTGCATCTGACGACATGAAAGCTTCTGTTGTTAGAGACTATCTCGAAAAACAGCTGACTCACAATGAGCAACCTCTCGAGCCTTTTGAGGGTCTACCACGTGCTCTCAATGTCCCTTTTACTGGAGTTGAAATACATGCAGCCACCTCTAGCTTGAAAAATGGGAGGGCAAATGGTCCCGATGGAATACCCAACGAGCTAATTAAGTACTCTAATAGTACAGTCCATGAACATTATGCTGGAATCATAAACAGTTGTTTCGAGACACATACTTTCCCCATTTCCATTGGTGAGGCTACTATAACACCCTTACAGAAGCCAAAAAAACCTATTGGTCCTCTGAAGAATTTACGTCCACTCACCTTGTCCAATGCAGCCAGAAAAATTCTGTCTATGGCTACTCTTAAAAGGATAGAAGAAAAAGTGAACGCCTTCACTGGTCCATGGCAGTGTGCATACAAACGCGCTCGTTCTTGTGCTGATATTGTTTGGTGTCAGCGAGTTCTACTGTCAGTTGTCCAAAGGAAGAAATGGGAGTATCATCGCATGGGCATTGATATGTCTAGTGCGTTTGACACGATCAAGCGCACTACGATTCTTGAACTCCTGAAACTGTGTGGCTGTACTGAGGATGAGCTGAGGATTGTCCGGTTGTTGTTGTCCAACACAAAGCTACGGGTGAAGGTAAATGGAGTTCTTTCAGCTGAGTTTTTAAGTCTCCTTGGAGCTTTCCAGGGTGACTGTCTATCCGGCTGTCTGTTCACCCTTGTCTTGGCTGGTGCTTTGAATGAACTTAGATGGACTATAACAATCAGTTTAGATAGGCCGATCCCCCCGATTACTATTGCTGGCCTTCCACTTGACACTGAATATGCTGATGATGTTGACTTCAATGATGAAGAGGAAGACAACTTGAGAGCTATTTTGCCCCAGGCAACAGCTATACTCGAGAAATGGAACCTCTTTGTCAATGAAGACAAAACGGACTTCACTCATGTTTATTTAGCTAGTACGGGTGAAGTCGACAGTGATGGAAAATTAGTGTCGGGGAATGAAGCATGGAGGAAAAGTATCACTCTAGGGTCCGTCTTGTGTAGCAAAGCTGATATTCAGCGTCGCATAAACCTGGGATATGCTGCCTTTAACAATTACAAGAAGGCCTGGAGTGATAAACTGCCCCTAAACAAACGTCTAATACTGTATAATGCTTTAGTCGTATCGGTTCTTATGTACAACTCATCCTGTTGGGCCGTCCCCAAAATAATCCTTGAAAAACTAGATGTTGTTCACCGCAGACATCTTCGCACTATTTTGAATATAAAGTACCCAGGAGTCATCTCCAACAAAAACTTGTATAAACGCTGCAATGCTGAACCATTGTCAGAAAAAGTGGCCCGTAGTCGGTGGAGAATGTTAGGACATGTTTTGCGGGGTCCTATTGACGGACCAGCGTTTTCTTCCCTCATTTTTGCCATCAATACACTGGACTTACCAGGGAGAAGAGGAAGACCCCAAAGCAATCTATTCTCACTGATTGTGCATGATTTATGTAAAAGAAATCTTTATTTGAATAATATCTTTGACCTGCATTATCTCCGTAATTTGAGTTATGACAAGAGATATTGGCGGAATTTGCAATGAAGTTTTTAATTTTTAGTTTTTGTTTTAGGGAAAGATTAGACTTGGGCGTTGTTTTTTAAAACTATCCCTTGTTTAGAACTTTGATTTAATAATATATTTTGTAACGAAATGCAAATTTGATGTTTGCAGCACTTTCGCTAACTCTTGGTTCAGGATAAGAGTGGTGGTACTGGTAGCAGCAGAGGCAAAGTGGTGACTTGTTACAATGGAGCTAACTTGTGGGAATAAGGGAACGATTTAAATCAAAAATCATACAAAACGGAAAAGTAGCAGCAGCTCTTTCATAGCATTGAAATGAAGGATATATTGGTCATTTGAAGATGGTACACTAGTCGAGGTGGGATGTAGAGGAACCACAATAATTCTTCAATGTAATCGGTCTAAAGACGAAAGACAAAAGAGGAGAAGAAAGACAGAAGAGGACAGAAGAGGAACAGGAATATATTATTATATAATAATATATATAATATATAATATATAATATATTATAATACTGCCAAATGTCAGCAGAAGTAGAACTGTGAGCATTTTAAACCATTTATTCGTCCAACTTATCAAGATCAAGTCTGATTACTGGGAGCCAACAGAAATACCAAGGAATGGGGAACATTGAGTCCGTATTAACTGCAGTTACATACAGATTGTAGATTATTTTGATTCTGACATGTCCACCGATGTCAAAAATGATTTACTTCTCCTGGAGGATTACTGGATAGAGAAGCTTGGGACAGCATTCCCTCTTGGTCTTAATGACAAGAAGAAAGGAACGGGCAACATCTCCCAAGATCGGGTTATGAATTATTTTAGTGGACAGATTGCTCGATACAAACGTGGCAGAGGGAATGGAAAGAAGAAAGTTCAGCCTAAGAAGTCTCTGGATACCATAGAGTCTGATATTAACAGGCTGAAAGATAACATCTCTTCAGAACATTCCATATACAAAACATTAAAATGTTATAGCTTATCAGATTTAGACACTCTCTACTCTTTGAGTCAAAATAATTCAGGATTGATTTACAACGTATGTTCCTCTTTCTGTTCAACATTTTCCCCCAAATACCATCAGAACAAATCTGAATCCAGTAATAGAGAATTTATAATTGTTCCATTTAATTGCAAATTCATTGATAATCTTAACCTAAAATCTATTTTCTCTGACACTTCAGTCATTGATTTGCTTCCCATTTTGATTCAGTCTTTTACACCATTACAGATTTATTATGAGTATAATGATCCTATAAGTCTTTCTATTTGTAACTATGCTTCATTCTTAAAGAAACTTTCTATTTCTGATATTAAATCTATTTTAGGTAGTCCATGCAATTGTCACTCCTCCCCTTTCAATTATCCTCCTCATGGACATGTAGTTACTGGTAATTTAGATATTGTTGATAATGTTGAACTTAGGGAAGTACTTTCCTACGGTTGTAAATACAGAATTCCCACATCTAAATCTCCAGATGAGATATATATGTCAGTTACCGAAGCTGTCGATAAATTTATAAAATCAAAAGGTAGAAAGTACTGTCAAAAAGAAGTAAAGTTCAGCGATTGGAAGGAAAAAGTGTTATCAATAGTTTCCAATCGTATTGAATATTACAAGAAAAAC